GCCTTAAAATGGCTTCTACTGCACAGCACAATGGAGTTGCCACGGTAAGGGCTTCACAGTACTCCACAAGGGGGCTCCCTTTGGTAAAGGGAAAATCCAACATTAGAAATTATGTTTTGTCTGGACATTTCCCCCCTATAAATAAATACCCGGGCGACGCCAGGTTATCAGCTACTAAAAAATAAATTAAAACACCACTATTTTTCATCCTCCCCCCCAAAAAAAATCCCCAATGATTTTTTATGCCACCAGGTGGTTTTCCACCTTCAGGTAATTGTTTAGAGTCACTTTAGCATGTACAATTACAGGGGGCCTTAAGAGGCATCCGTAAAGTTAAGATGGCGCCGTCACTGTGACAGAAGCCCTGCCTCTTTCTTTTAAAGGTTGCATGGTGGTGGCCCCTTCTTAGACTTTTTTTTTGCCCTTTAAAGCTATGCCGACTCAGCAACCATCCTGCCTAACGTCTTGGGGAGGGGGGAATCCTGCTTCATTATCAGTTGAGGTTAATGATGCTGGTCTTTCTCTCGTGCGGCAACTTCAAGATGGAGGTGGACTTCAACTCCCAGAATTCCCCAGCCAGCCATGCTGGGAGTTGAAGTCCACCTCCATCTTGAAGTTGCCACAAGAGAGAAACAGAGAGAAGTCCATCCTCCCTGGGAATTAAGCTCAGCCTTTCTTCTTCCAAGGAAAGAATCAAGAGCTGACGGGGAAATCCAAAAACGACATTCCCTGCTCACGACTCGAGACTTGAGGGAGGATGTTTTAGGAAGGAAAGAGGAAGGAAGGAGGCAGTTTACATTTCAGAATAACAGTTGGAAGGGCCTTCAGAGGTCATCTAGTCCAACCCCCTGCCTGGGCAGAAGACTCTATCCGTTTTCGCAACAGATATTTTTGGGGTCAATTGTGGTCGTAAGCCGAGGTCTACCTGTATACCATTCATCATTTTCTGAAATGCCAGAGAAGTACGGATATATTGGCTACTATACCCCAGCGGTCCTGGCTTGGCCTTGTGCAGGGGGTGAAAAGGGATGATTCGTGCTGTAGCGGATTCAAAAAGATTGACAACTACCTCCATGGAGCATAGGACGAGAGCAATTCAAATGGCATGAAGAGGCTTGGAGGAAAGGGAGTTTAAGAGTCCTCAGACAGGGGTGTTCCTGGATTGGTTTTAGGTGTCAGCTGCATCCCTGGAATTTTTCTAAGGCTGTGATCACAAACACAAAGTCACAATGTTGCACAGGGCAAACAGTCCCAAGGATCTTCTTTGGACCAAGACTAAGTTGTTTGGTGTGCGGCATCCTGGGACCCCACAGTGCAGTGTTTCACAACTTGAAGATGCGTGGACTTCCAACTCCCAGAATTCCCCTGCCAACCATGCTGGCTGGGGAATTCTGGGAGTTGAAGTCCAAATAGCTTTAAAAGTTGCCAAATAGTTGAGAAACACTGTTTTATGCGCTGTGCTATGGGCCCCATGACTAATAGGGGGAGGAGCTTAGAATGGAGGCCCAGAATCCAGTGAAATCCTCTTTTTAAGCCCCTCCTCCCTGCTAGTCATGTGACCCAGAACATATGAGAGAATTGGAAGGGGGGGCTGCTCTTCTCTGCGCTCCCCAACCTTATCTAGTTCATTTACAAACCAAGTTTTTCTTTCAGCAGTGTCTGCCCTCAATTTGGTGCCCAGCTGCTCCTTTTTCCAGAAATAATGGCGCTGACGTACAATCTCCTTCCCATAATTTCTTTCTCAACTTCCATTGGGTTAGAAAAGAGGAACGACGACGGGCAGCGGGAACTGTCGGAGGGCCAAGTGACGGAAAGGCAGCAGGGAAGAGCAAGGATATTTGGTAAACCAGTGCGTTTTTACTGGTGACGTCATTCTGTAAAACAGCATATCTCAAAGTTGGTGACTTTTTAAAGACAGGGGGACTTTAACTCCCACGCTGGCTGGGGAATTCTGGGAGGTGAAGTCCACATATCTTAAAAGTGGCTAAGGTTGAGAAACACGGCCTTAAAACAATAACCTTAAGTTTGAGAAACACTGCTGTAAAAGTCAAGACACCAGTAGCCATTTTGAAGAGGGGGGTTTCTGTTTAATACCACCGGCGCCCTCAAACTGTTTCACAACTCTGCATATTTTATAGTTCAGGCTCTGTGTGTCCTTGGGAGGACCCTTCCATAAAGACCAATTTGGTTTGTCCCCACCAAATGACCATACCAACTGAATATGGCCATTCTCCCTCATCCCCGATTCCTCATGCGTGGATGACTGAGACTCAAGACACAACCTTCCAGCGAGGTGTTCCTTCCCGTTTCCTATTTTTGTTTCTCACAGTCATGGGACCTCTGATGTCTGGTAAGATTGGATCTTTGGCAGAAGCCTTGTCCGCAGTCCGTGCACCGATACGGCTTCTCTCCCGTGTGGATTCTCCGGTGGACAATCAGGTGCGCCCTCTGGCTGAAGCCTTGCCCGCACTCCACGCACGTATGCGGCTTCTCCCCCGTGTGGGTTCTCTGGTGCACCACAAGGTGCGTCCTTTGCGTGAAACTCTGGCCGCACTCAGCGCAAGCGTAAGGTTTCTCTCCCGTGTGGATCCTCTGATGCCGGATGAGGTTGGACCTCTGGCTGAAACTCTGCCCGCACTCAACGCAGGTGTGAGGTTTTTCTCCCGTGTGGATCCTTTGATGGATCACCAGGTGTGCTTCCCAGGTGAAGGTCTGCCCGCACTCGGTGCACTGATGGGGCTTCTCTTTCGTGTGGATTCTCTGGTGAGCCACAAAGTTCTTCCTCCGATTGAAGGTCTTCCCGCAATCCAAGCACTGGCGCGGTTCTTCGCCCGCGTGGATTTTTTGATGCCGGATGAAATTCGATTGCCAGTTGAACATCTTCCCGCACTTCATGCACTGATATGGATTGCCTCTCAGGTAGATCCTCTCGTGGCTCCTGTGGCCCGGCTCCAGGCTGATGCTCGCCCCATCATCTGAGCCATGGTTGTAGGAAGCCTTCTCCTCTGCGTGGACTTTCTGGTGTTTAATCAGGTGAGGGCTCTGGCGAAAACATTTCCCACATTCAAGACAGGCGAAGGGTTTCTCCCCGGTGTGTATCCTCTGATGGCTGGTGAGGTTGGCTCTCTGATTGAACCTCTTCCCACAGTCGGAGCACTTGTGAGGTTTTTCTCGGGTGTGGATGCTCTGGTGTCTTAGAAGGTTGCCCCGGCGGGTGAACATTTTCCCACACCTGAAACACTGATAGGGTTCCTCTCCCATTGGGTCCTGTCTGACGCTCCCGGTCGGCTGATGGAGGGCACTGTCCCCCGTGTGAATCTTCTGATGCTTGAGAAGGTTGGATTTCTGCCCAAAGCTCTTCTCGCACTCAGAGCACTTGTACGGCTTCTCCCCCGTGTGGATTCGGAGGTGCCTCACCAGATTGGACCGCTGGCTGAAGCTCTGCCCACAGTCGACGCATTTGTGCGGCTTCTCGCCGGTGTGCAAGCGCTTGTGGATGATCAGGTGCGCCCTCCACCGGAAGCTCTTCCCACAGTCCGGACATCGGTACGGTTTCTCCCCAGTATGGATCCTTTGATGCGCATTCAGGTTGGTCCTCTGGTTGAACCGCTTCCCGCATTCGAGGCATTTGTGCGGCTTGTCTTTTGTGTGGATGCTCTGATGCCGGAGGAGGTTGCCTTTCCGGGAAAAGACCTTCCCGCACTTGAAGCACTGACAGGGATTTTCCCCAAGGGGATCCCTGTCCAATCTCTTATGACTGGACCTCTGGCTGAGTCGCTTCCCATTAGCCGAGCGTCGGGGCGGCTTGTCTCCCAAATGGACACTCTGATGCTTGACGAGGTTGGATTTCTGAGTGAAGCTCTTCTCGCACTCCAGGCATTTGTACGGTTTCTCCCCGGTGTGGACTCGGTGGTGCCGAACAAGATTGGAAACCTGGCTAAAACTCTGCCCGCAGTCTACACACTGGTGGGGTTTCTCCCCAGTGTGGATCCGCTGGTGAATGATGAGATTTGCGCTCCGACTGAAGCATTTCCCGCAGTCCACACAGGGGTAAGGCTTCTCGCCGGTATGGAATCGCTGGTGTCGCATAAAACTGGTTTCCCATTTGAAGTTTTTCCCGCACTTTAAGCACTGAAATGTCTTTCCTCCCACGTGGGTTCTCTGATGCCGGTTGAGGTTGGATTTCTGAGTGAAGCCCTTCCCACAAATAGCGCACATGTGTCTTCGCTTTCCTATTGGCGTTCTGTCCTCCAAGACACGCTCCCTGGAAATCCCACTCTCGCCGAGAATGGCGTTGTTTCGTCTCTTGTCTATGGGGAATCTCTGCTCCCACCTTGATGCCTCTTGTTCTCCAAAGTTTTCTTCTAGGACTTGAGTTTCGGCTTTTTCCAATAATGCTTCAAACACGGCCTCTTCATCCTCACTCTCCCACTTATCTGTCAAGATTAAAAGAGAGTGTTAGAAAAGCTAGAACTGAAAACAAGTGCAATGGTTGAAACCACACACTTTCATTTTCTGCGCTGATCCTTTTCTTCATGTAATGTATTTTTTGACATATGAGGTACTTCCCTCCCCCTAAAAGAGGGTAAAAATTTGGGTACATCTTATAATCTGAATGTAGCCCCGCCCAATTGCTGGTCCCCACTCGCCGGCCTCTGCACACGTGCTCACAACCAGCAAACTAATGTGCGAAAGCTGACCAGGCTGTTTGCTAAGGATGCTAGCCAGATGAATACCGATGGATGCTGGCAGACAGAGGCAGATTTTTTTTCCTCCCCCCCAAAATTAAAGTGCGTCTTATACTCCAAAAATACGATATATAATTTTTTGCCATTCTAATGTGTGACTACAATCAGTTTAAGATCATTTAACCACAATTTGTTTCAGGGCAGCAAATTTCAATTTGAAAGCTATTGGCTTCCTGTTTCCTGAGGCTTTGCATAATGTAAGAAACAGATATATAGTTGGTCGAAACAATGTAAAAAAGATGCGGAGACTCTAGAAAGAGTGCAGAGAGCAACAAAAATGATTAGGGGACTCGGCGGAGGAGTTGGCTTCGTGCTTTTGGGAAGCCTAGGTCAGAATAGTAATAAAAAAATAGCTAAATAAATGAATACATGGTAAAGCATCCATACCCAACCAATTGGCCTGCTCTTGCTTGATTTCCCGGCAAGGCTGTTTTTCGCCAGTGTCATCTTCTCTCGAAAAACTCATTGCTACTTCTTCAAACTCTCCTAGTACCTGAAAGATAAAAAAGCAAGAATGTGGGTGGCTGCAATTCTGGCCCTTTGAATCAGAATGATGACTCTGGTTCTGGCCCTTTGGGGGTGTACCTCTAATGTCAGAACACCACATATTGGAACATGGCGGGTGTTTGCTGCACGATGGTGCAACTGTTTGATCAGGAAACAAACTTCACCATAAATGCTGGGAACCTACTGAGCGTTTAGTGCGAGATCGGGAGAAGTGGCAAGCAGTGTTTCTCAAACCTTGGCAATTTTGGGAGTTGAGGTCCACAATTCTTAAAAGTTGCCAAGTCTTGTCTACATTCGAAAGGTTCACCGACAAAAGGGCGAACGACAAAACCCTGCCCGACTAAACCACGTCGCTGTCGTCATCAACAGGGCGACAACAGGGCGGAGACAGAAGCACGCTGTAAACCCTAACCCCTAACCCTAATCCTTAACCTAACCCTAACCCTAACCCTAAACCTAACCTTAAACCTAACCCTAAACCTAACCCTTAACCTAACCCTAAAGCTAACCCTAAAGCTAACCCTAAAGCTAACCCTTAACCTAACCCTAAAGCTAACCCTAACCCTTAACCTAACCCTAAAGCTAACCCTAACCCTTACCTTAAGTTGAATCAGCTTTCTTTCAACGCGCTATTTAAAGCGCCCTTCTTTCTCGGCGCTGGCTGTTGTCGCTGCGTTGATGACGTCAGCGACGCGGTTTAGTCGGGCGTGGTTTTGTCGTTTGCCCTTTTGTCGGGCCACGCATTCAAAGAATGTGGGACAAGAATGCAGGACACTCAAAGAATCCAGGCCTGAGAAATGTTAAACAGGCAGTAAGATCTGGAGAAAGACTGGAAAACTTATTCATGGGTTTAGTACAGGGGTGTCAAACTGGCGGCCCGTGGGCTGGATGCATCATGTGCTGGCCACGCCCACCCCCATTTTAGCGAAGGGGGGGGAAAGTCGCGATATGTCATGTGACGGCGTGAGTTTGACACCCCCGAAGTGGGAAGGTCAGAAAGACCCAAAACTTTTCTGGGGAAGAGACTGACTGGCTTGATCACATTTCAGGCTGTTGGCTCAACTGATATCCTTCAGGGGAAAAAATCCAAAATCTCAGGCCCAAAGTTGATTGCTGACTGGAAAGCCCTATAAACTTTTTGTGTGAAACGGAGGGGGGAAAAAAGAACTTGTGATAGATGCTTCTGATTAGGAAAAAAAAATAATTACAGAAAAAATGAAGAGCCTGCTATCACCACAAAATAAGAGCTAAAGTTATACTTATAATTGCTGTAAAGAAAATTGGAAGCTATTTTTTAATATATTTTCTTTTTTCCCTACATTTTGGTTTTATCTTGCTATTCTGCCTTTTCTTTATTTTAAACATGAATATCAACTATTCTAAATATATTCTGTCAAATATCATTCTTTACTAAAACATTTTAGGTGCACGACCAAGGCGAAGTGTTTATCCCTCAGCTGAGGAGGCTGCATCCTCGAATTCGATTCCCACCATGGATGAATGGCTACAAAAACTGATGGACTTAACAGAGATGGCTAAATTGACCATTTTTGATCAAAGAAAAGAAGATAAGAACGTTTGTTTCTGCTTGGAAACCGCTTCTGGACTTTGTGCTTGAGGTGGAACAAATGAAACTGATTACCGTATTTGTTGGAGTATAAGACACACCTTTTTCCCTCAGAAAAGAGGGTGAAAATCTGGGTGCGTCTTATACACTGAATAGAGCATTTTTGGCCTCCTGAAACCCTGCCCCCTTTGCAAAAATGGCCATGCATAGCCTTTAGGAGGCTTCCAGAGTGCTCCTGGGGCTGGGGAGGGTAGAAATGAGCGAAAAATGGGCTGGTTTTTGCTCATTTTTGCACCCCCCAGCCCCCAAGAGCACTCTACAAGCCTCCCAAAGGCTATGCATACCTTTTTTTTTTTTAAACAAAAAATGGACCTGTTTTCGGGAGATCTGCAGAGTGCAAAAACGTTTTTTTTTTAATTTGCCTCTTCAAAATCTTGGTGCGTCTTATACTCCAGTATGTCGTTACTTATAAAGCCCTTCATGGTATTGGACCTGGGTACTTGAGAGACCACCTGCTGCCAATTACCTCCCAAAGACCCATAAGA